ATATGATTATGTATACTAAAAAACCCCACGAAGCATCTGAAACGGGAAACCGTTTTGTCTGAATGTAAAATGACCATTATATGCTGAATACATCAAAATCTTTTCCACATTTTGTAAAACCAATATTAGTTGAAATAGTACATCATGACATCAAGACAGCCGGTTGTACTTACCAAAACTTATATGTAAACATTTTATTCAGAGGGATAGTCACTTTCATATCCCATCTGTCTATTTCAGTTCTTTGGATTTCTTGGTTGTAAAACCTTAACAAAAGCTTTCTCAGAATCACCAGACCGTGAGCTAGGTAGCACCAAAGTGGACGTTGATCTCGAAAAACGCAATCAGCAGTAAGAGGTTGTAGAGATCGAGTTTATATTATGATCATGAACTGGTCAATTTCAAATCACCATCGAAAAACTGAGAGCACTGAACGGTTGTCTCATCCTAGTGTGAGATTATCCAGCAGTATCCATCCACGATCCTGCGCGTAGGACTCGAATCCGGGACCTTCGGTATTGCGCGTGAGCATTTAACCTCCGGAACACCAAGCTGGCACGCAATATTGTTAATGTCTAGCTCCAATTAGTGCACGAGATTGGGCAGCCTTCCGTTGTCTTCGAGACTTAACTGACTTACAATAGAAGATGGTTGCACAATATCATGGATTTGCTGACGTTAGGCATTAACACTGTTAGATGCCGACTCAATCGCATAGAGCTTAAGCGCTTACGTGCGAAACTGTAGGTCCTGGATTCGAGTCCCACATACAGGATCGTGAATGGATACTGCTGAGGGATTTCATACTAGGATGAGACGGCCGTCTAGTGCTCCCAGTTTTTCAACTTAGCTGAACAAAACGTTGGAATTATTTAAATTTCAATCGCTGTGATTATTTCAAATATAATTTTTACATATAATGACTTCTCTATACTCGGCGCCCAATTTCTGTGAAACTATTCGTTCTAATATTGACGAATATTCGTATAAAATACATATGGTTTTAAAGTATGGATTTTGTAGGATACATAACAGTCAGTAAAATGAAGACCTAATTATTATATTTAATTTTCTTTATTTCATCAATTTACTATGATTAAATTAGACGTATATTAGGTCAGACGGCGCCATTGAAATGGATTATACTAATCCGTAGCAGTGGATACCTTTAAGATCAATATTATTAGTAACAAACTTCATTCAGATATAAACCATTTGTCTGGACTGAAAATTCTCACAAGTATGATAACGGAAGTATTCTGTATGTAATAGTTTTCACTTTTTTACCACTAACAAACTATATTTCTATTCTTATTTGACTGTCATAGCTGTATATTACTATGATCTTTATGATAAATAGATGTAAATCAGTATTGAATTACGAAATGATAAACATTTGCATCACTATATCTCCATTTTTTAAATTTCAATATAAAGTAAAGGATGGTTGATTACTTTAAACAAAGTAAACACCATAATCTACATGTCTTATCAAAAAATGGCTGATTTCCAAGGTTATTCAACTGACGTTTGCCCAGAATAAATAATATTTCCAAGATATTCCTATTTCTTAACAACACAATGTATTTCCTATTTCCATTTATTTACAAACATTTTAATTAGTGGTGTTAATAAATACTTATCTTTTGAAAATTAAAGCGAAATGAGTAGTTTGTTGCTGAGTTCATATTAGACCGATATCTATCATCAAATTGAATAAACCCAGATATAATGTTAATTATGAAGTGATGTCGGATAGATCATTATAAACCATAAATCAGAATAGAAATGTTTTTACATAGTTTGAGACTACAAAATGATGAGCTTCTTCTTCGTCATAATGATCATGTTGAGATGTAGTATAAATTAAAAACAATCTTTCCGATATACTATCAACAACTCTAGTGCTCTAATAAACAATCAAAACTTGATAAAATGTTTGTTTAATGTGATATGACTCACATTAGTTCTCCAGCAGAATGAATTTGAAGTTATGCGTTGTCTACTGTATAAAAAAGGACCAAATAGAAAATAGTATTTGTATACAAATTCAACATTATTCTTATTTCTAACAGTCTTATTGATCTCGAATATCTTTTTTTGATTTCAGGTTGATTAACGTAACTATCATGCCGAAAAGATTAAAGTAATTCTTGGAAGAAAGAAAAGAAATCTTGAAAAGTAAATTACGTTCACTGCCCAATTAACCTCTAGTTTTAATGATGAACAAAAGCATACTCTATGATGGTTTAGTCAACAGAGTTCAGAAAATGACAAAACAAAGAAAGAAAATTAATTCATTAAAATGACAAAAGAAAATTAAAATCAAACAGATGTAAACAAATGTTCAAACATTTTAACTATATATCAAAGTAGATAATTCTATAACTTGTACTGCATAAGTATATCAATTTATATTCTGATCATTTAATCGATGATTCATTTAATAAAATCCTTTACAATTTTTATAGTGAGAAGCAGTGACCAGTGGGGTTTAACCGGATCTGTTGTGAGATAGTAACTCATTGAAGACAATGGTGAATGTGTCGCTCAATTTTGTGGATTTGTTGGAGTTAAACATTAACACCGTTGGATACCGGCTCAGTGGTCTGGAGGTTAGGCGTTCGCTTGCGAGACCGACATGTTCTGGGTTCAAATTTTGCGCGGCGGGATAGTGGGTGTGCGCTTCTGAGGAGTCACACAATAGAACGAAACGTCCGCTCAGTGCTTCCAGATTTTCCATGATGATCTTGCTTCAATTGACTCATGATCTCAACTATTGAAATTTTAACTAAACCTAACAACACTCGGTTATATTTATATAATATTCAACCAATATTCACGAATTTTTTGTTGTTGTGGTTTTATGAAAAAATCGTTATAATTGGCGAGTACATCTTATTACTAACTTAAATGAGCCGGAGAATGAATGTAAATCACGGGGTATTTGTAACTACCACAATCAAGTTTGTGACTTCACTAAAATGGTCATTCATAATCCTAGTTAAAACTGAAATAATATTTTTGAGGTTTCATTGATATATTTAAGCTAGTGAGCTTGATTACAAGGTTTTCACTGTTCTTTTGAAATTTAATTTAGTTTTCATTTATTACAATCCTCATCAAAGATCTTTTTGAATGAGCTTGATCTTTAAACTATTAGTATAAGAAGTAACTTTTAAAAAAAAGAAACTATCACACTGTAACATATATATGTATTTTTACAATTATATCCGATAAATACTTAAGCTAGGGTTATAAAAACTACGATATTTAAAATCTAAACCTTCCTGCAGTTTATTAGAGTGTGTGGTCATCATCTACCTGGTTGTCTCACATCTTAGCGGCTCTATATCCTCCATGAACAGCTCATGTATGACCGCTCTGAAATTCGGGGACAAAAATGTCAAGTTGCCAGGATTAGTAAGCAAAGAGGTTAGTCAAGTTTGGTGGTCGAACTACTTTTGATTTTGTAAGATAAGTTCCTTGTTGGCTGGCTTTATATATTTATGGGACAAACTAAAGTCACCAAAACTTCCAAATATTAGGTACGTACCATTAAAACACCACAAAAGTCAATCTGACTCAAAGTCGTAAGGATTTAAGTTTAATGCAGAGGTTATATATGGTGTGATTTGTTTCCTCCTCTTGATATATATACTCTAGAAAGTACAGTTATCATTGTATTTAATCGAACTGTAATTTTTGAATGTACTCCATTGTAAATTAATCTTAGCCATTAAATTATTCCCAATAATGCTTTAGTAGGCAAGGAATTAATTTTTTCTGATGGGTTTGGTTGAGACTGTTAAACTCAAAATACTGTATTAAACGAACTAATTTTAACTAAATGATCGTTTTATATGAGAAAATGCTAAACAAGTGTTTTATTCTAGTATCGAACGCCTTAGTGGTGTGCAGCTGCGAACTGACGAGGGACTGGTGAAATAAACATTATAAACATATGCAACTAAATTACTGTTGCCAGTTCTATAGGATTACTAGGTGGTTTCTTGTGGACCTTAGTTGTTCTTTGACTCGAGTCAAGTTTTCACTAGATGACTCACTAATATAGGAGGAATTACAATATATTATTACAAGTATATTATTTTTATTAACAGAAACCTACCTAATGTTCAATTTATTTGAAATTATCAAGTCAGACCTTAGTAATGAAACCTATTTCAGTGATAATTTCTTGTAGTATATTATTTACAGTACTCTTTTTATTTTAATCGTGAATTTATTCAAAGATTTTATTCCATGAATAAATATTATTAAGAGGCTTTATGAAATATTTTGGAAATTAATGAAATAAAAGGATAAAGTGTTATTGACTTGATCTATAGTGAATAGATTTAATCAGGATAACTAACAAACAGAAGTGTATAATTATATTAAATTATCCTAATATTGATTCAGGAAATTTTTACCAAATGAAAATTAGCTTTCCTGTGAAACGCTATTCCATGAAGAATAGTTAAAAACCAGATTAGGCTGAGGCTCCCAAATATCCTGGTACCGCCGTGGATGAGGAGAGTCAGCTCTCCTTCTCGAAATGCTCTCACATGGCCACGTATATACAGCCACTGCCACACAGGTTATACTCATTGCTTCCCCACGGCGGAGTTGTTGTTTACGAAATTGAGAAGACGAAAAGTGAAGCTCCGTGCTTTAACTGGGTTGGTGGGTATGGAGGACCCACCTGGGGGAGTTGAAAAACCATGATTCCAAACCGATGGTGCATATGGGCTCCAGGATCCTGAGGAATGGAATGATGTATGAATCAATTATTGGTGACCGACTACCATGGGACTGAATCTCCTTACGTTGCTCTACTATCTTGTGGATCAGACCTTTAGGTCGAAGGCTCTGGGTGTGGCCTCTTAAGGAAACCACCTATTTCGGTTTGGACATCCGGGTAGTATCACAACCCACGCACAAATCAAGTGACTTGCATTGTGCATATGTATTCGGTGCCCCTCTGTACCAATATTTATGTGTTCAAATAAATAAATAAGACCCGGCTGAATCGTTATCTCTCTATTGATTGTAAATTTTGTGGTAGTGTGCCTAAGTGACCCTACGTATGCTATATATGTCTATGAAAAACATGGATAATGCTTTATCGACAAAACTGAACGTTCAAATATACTTATGATTAAAGTTTAGATCATCATATCTCTTCATAATCATGATACAATTAAGTCAGTCTTTTAGTAGCCTTTATTGTAAATCTCATTTGTTATACCATGTCATTTTATAATCATTTAATATTATTGATATTTCAAGTTTTTGATAGCAACATCTAACTGGAAATTTGAAAAACCTATCTCGAAGTTAATTGGTACTTACAATAATTGTGTATAGATTTTTCTATAATTTAAACCTATATCACTATGCACTAATGTTAACTGAAGAAGTATTATAAACATTGGCAAATATTTAAAAGTAATTATAATTTATTCACGTATTACATCGTTTTTGTATTCAGAATTTAATCAATTCGTATTTCAATTGTAAACTAATCAAATATTTGGAAAAAAATGTAAATAACATGTTTCTAATTATAGAAACTTAACTGTCAGTTTGTATGATTAAATTGGATAATTGGCAATGAAATGAAACATTTATAAGTATAATGAATTATTTAGTAGTTGAATTCATGAGTCAATTAAAGCTAGATCATCATAGACAACCTGAAAGCACCGGAAGACCGTTTCGTTCTATTGTGTGACACCTAAACATTGCGCATCTACGATATCGCTTCGTGAGATTCGAACCCAGGACCTATTAGTTTCAGTTGTTTAGAGCTTAGGCGTTTGCGCGCGAGACTGATAGATCCAAGATTTGAACCTCGAGAGGCGGGATAGTAGAGATGCACTGCTGAGGAGTCCCATACTAGGACGAAACGGCCGTCCAGTGCTTCCAGGTTTTCCATGGTGGTCTAGCTTCAATCGACTCATGATTTCAACCAGTGAAATTTCTAAAATCTCCACAAAACCCATTCTGATAAATTTAGTTTATTTGATGCTTTGAAAAATACACAATTATTATTCTATTAAATGTACTTTGAAAAAAGAAAGTAAAAAAAAACAAAAAAAACATTCTTATTCCGACAGTACAAATTTGTAAATCATAGACATTCATATGTGATTAAAATGAAGAAAAAAATGTTTTCTGTTTTTCACTAGTGTTACACAAAAAAATATTTATGAGTCATCTTATATCTTTTCATTTAGCCATGGTGAATAAAAATGTCACTTATGTATATATATTTATATATTAGTAGGCTTGTTATGAACTTTACAATAGATTACTTATAAGGACATTAAGAAAAGAATTGAAACGGTTTCACGCACAAATATTCTTCATGGTGAAATACATGAGACCGATGGAATCACCTCGTTCATGCTACTATTGATTCATGTATCAGCATCTTTTTTGTTTAATACCCAACAAAGTCATTTATATCTTAGTGAATATATGTTTGTAGTTGTATACATAATCAAGACTATAGAACATTTTATCAGACGACTTTATATATAGGAGAAAGTCTATACTGTGAATACATTGATTGAAATATTACATCTTGATAAATTTTTTTAAAGAAACTTATTTATATGTGTTGTGAATAGCGAAATTATAACAAATTCTCGATCGTAGACTTTCACTAACAAAGAGATGTAATATATATAAAAAAACGTATTTAAAGAGACTAGAAATGTCATAAAATGTATACTGTACGATCAGTTGGTGTTAATCATTCTCTGTAAATTATTAGTCATTTTTAACAGTGAATGAAATTTAAACCGTTTCTTTATTTCTTAAATTTTAAAGGTATGAACGAAGAAAACGATATTTAAGAAGAGCATCAATCCTTTAAGAGATAACTTTATTGTAACTGGTTATTCCTAAAGTCTTTATTAAAAAAGGTCTTGTTTAGAGGATATAAAAGTTAACTCATTTTTTATCAACCTAATGTATGTCTGTTAGTGTTGTTTCTTTGATTCTAACTAGAGATAATATAAATAATCATTTCTAAATCGTTTGGTATTTATGAAAGAATAATGATAAACATTACGTCACTACGTGTTATGATATTTAGTGAATTGTAGCAATAAAGTGTGTAGAATGAAAGGATCTACCCATAGTAGATACTAATTAGATCCATGTCAATAATTTTAGTCAGAAAACTTATAATTTAAAACGATTGACATTTTTTACCAATTCTTAATCTTTATTTTACTAAACTTTCATTTAAACTTTTATTATTACATCGAGTTTAGCAAATACCAGAGCTTGTTTAATCTACATTGAACGTTGAATGATTTGTTTGCTTTATAATGATTCTAATAATTGAATCCATGAGTTGATCTAAGCTAGATCACCATTAAAAACCTGGAAATACTGGACGGTCGGCTCGTTCTAGCATGGGACTTTTCGGTAGTGCGCATTTATAATCCCATACCCAGGACTCGAACCCAGAACCTTCTGTCTTGCGCGTGAACCCTTAACTTATAGACCAAATTTTCAATGTTGATCTGGTTAAGATCGATTGATGGATTCAACTATCAAAATAACTATATTCTCTACAATTCCATATTCTGATTATAATAATTTGCTTTGTACAACCATATCATATCCATATATAGTTTATTTTAAACACTGGAAATTATCTTATTTAAAAAAATACTTTTTTCTCTTTCTTGTCTTATTTGAAATTGAGCAATTCAGATTTTTGATGTTCCGATGATTAAATTCATTAAGGGTTGACAGAAGTTCTTACTTATATAATAACGTTGGCGGTATTACAGCCTTTCAGCGTAGTTGTTTACTTGAAGAAAGTTTATGCAGTAGACTATAATTATATGTCAGCTTTTATGTCAAATACGACATAGAAAATGTATAATATTCACTTGATCCTGTCTATAGACTCAGTCAATTATTCATGATATCAAGCCTATAGTACAGTTTTAAAATCTTATTCCCATAGTATCACTATTTTAAAGAGAATGTTGAACTACTTACATTGTATTTATTCGATATTGGTTCATTTGACGAAAACTCCAAAGGATTTGGAAATCATTTCTTCTGACCACTTTAAAAAAGCGTTCTCTCATGCTACATTGGTGCGAATTCGCAAGAGTGTATAACAGCTAGTTTCTGAATAGTTCTGTGACTTATTTAATTTACTTGAACAAAAAACTCTTAGCTTAACTAACACTATTTGCACATAACTAACCAGCTAATTTTTTATGTAATTCAACCTTATATCAGGTGGACAACCTTCAAAATCATGACATGAATGAAATAAATATAGTAACAAAATTCATTTCTAAGCGTTATTATGTTTGTCTTATACTGATAGTTACACATAAGAGGATAATGACAAGGAACTATTCTAGTGATTTTTTGGCTGAAGTATTAAAAATACTACAATCTGAATACAGACGTTACAATGTATCAGAATGACTTAAATATATATACATTTCCTCTGTACAATGGATAGCTCATGATTTTCTACAAAAAATCTTAACTGATTGATGAAATATTTTATTGATAAACACCCATGAAGATAAAACCTCAATTTATACCTTCTCCTGTCAGTAAAGTACTATGTTTAGTTATACAATCTACTGATTATAATTAAAAATGTTTCAACAGTGTAAAACAATTATTATAGACCAAGGTATATCAGTGTACAGTTTGGATTATGTCTTATATTCAACAGAGGGTAGAAGAGAAAAACATTCAAATTTGTTTGCTTTTCTTACAGATATTCATTATTAATAAATATAGTTTTTGAAATTCCTAAAATTTGTTCATCAGCTATTAATTCTGTCTTTTTTTCTAGAAAAAAACATATCACATCTTGTGAGATAGAAATTAACCAAATGAATGGCTTCATTTCATCAATTAGTGAGTGAGAGTTTTAAATAAACAATTGAAAACAAAAATAAACATTAGCAACTTATTAAGCATAGGTTTTTTTGTCATTCAATGGTTGAATGTAGATCCGAAAAAAAGGAGGATGCTAGTTTTTGTAAAATTCCAATCATAACATACAAAAAATGTTCTGGATAGAAACTAAATATTCCTGTAAAAAAACTAAAAAATTTTTTTCTTTTTTCAAAAATTATTATAAGTTATTTATAGAAATTATATATTGTTTTTTCAAAAAAATATCCTTCATTACTTTTTTCTTAAAAGATTAATATATTTTTCAATTAAATTCAGTTAAATGAAATTGATATTAATTTTAGTTGCTACCTATTGATAAAGATAAATTATATTGAATTGGTTTTATTGACTACAATTCTTACTGTATAGTTAGATTGTGTATGGTGTACTTTAAGCTATTTGAGAATTATCAAACTTTAGTTCTATTGTGAAAATTGACTATGAAATATGAATGTATTCAGTTTTAGAGTTGTAGATAGATTGAAATAAGATTTTGCATTTTATTGTAGGCCACAATATAAATTTATGAAAATTTTAGTTTAAATATTAAAATCATGGTTCACAATGCAATTGTATCATAATAAATTACAGTTTTGAATGTCATCAACGAAGAAATGTAAACCCACACAAACAAGATATTATAAGCAAAGATGGATAGTGTCTAGCAGTGGAACCCAGAACTCGCATTTCGTCCTAGTTCGAACTCGTCAGCTGGATGTACTTATATATCACAATTGATGTTCACTCTGGGACTCAAACCCAGAACCGTCCGCTTCAAACGCCATTGCGTCATCCATTTAGCTACTAATTCCTGATAGTCACTTGCTTGTACGATATGGTGGAATTTAAATTCACTTGATATTGTTTACTTGAATCTTCCTATTGATGTATAGGACTGCAATTGATCAGTCTCTTATTAGCATATGTGCATACTGTACGTATTGCCTCGATATTGCCTATTCAAGAAAACAATACCAAGTGAATTCAAGCAAAATATTTCTTGATAATTATTCGATCGACAGATAAGAATTTTATTAATTTCAAGGCAGAATAAGAATAAGGATCATACTGTAGGGGAAAATGATTGAATTTGGAGAGGTGAATCAGT